ATGATGTGCTACTACTTTTTTCTGCTGTCCACCATTTTTTTTTTTTTGAAAATTGGAACTATTTGAGCATTTCTCCAATCGAAATGAACAATCCCAGACAATATAGATCTGGTAAAGATGCAAGCAAAGCAAGTATTTAATCTCTCCTCCAATAAGTAGGCATGTCACGATAAAGCTTTTATTTTGAGCCTCTGAATGTGATCAAAGATCCTCAACAATTTTTACAAATTTCATATTAACAGTGCAGTTCATTACTAATTAGTCAACATTGCCCACTAGAATGTATACTGATGCAAAGGAATTCATTTCAGACTTACGCAGTAGTCTGTGATGTCATTCATATTTGTCCTGAGCAATCCTTCACCAGCTCTCTGCAATTGTACATAGTCCCCAACTGCTGACAAAGCTTGAAAAAAGTTTTTACCATATGAAGATTTTGACACTATTCAAGCCAAAACTGAGATCACTTCCTTTGCAATATTAATACTACTGACTTGTTCCATATCAGAACTTAGCATTTTCTAACCCTAGTACATTGTGGAATTGCTAATCTTGATGCTTGGCACAGTGAACTAGCCAGATCAAGCACAGCACTGTTAAACCAAAGGCATTGTTATGGATGGACTATCCCTGAATTGTAATCATTTACCAGGAATGATCTCCATTCGAAGCATTTGTCATAATGTGTGACGTTTTTTTAACTTATGCTTGTCATCTTAGATTTTATGACGGTTGCCATAATATTGAAGTAGTCTTGAACTGGGCAAATAGAAAGCAAACATTATGACTCTTGCAAGTTTTTCTTGTGCTGGTGTGTGTCGAAATTGTGAACCCAGTTCAATTTCTGCTCTGTGCTGATCTCAGCTGGCGTATTAACTGGAGGGCTAAATTTTGCCTTCATGTCTGCAGCTTGTGTGGTACCCCCAGATTTATTTGAACCACAATGTTATTTCATAATCAGTTGATTAAAAATAAATATTTTTAATTAACTAAAACAAATTAATTCATATCTAAGACTAATTAAAATTATAAATGGGCAAAATTAACAAATGGAAATTGCTTTATGTAATCAAAGTTATTAAATGTACTTTACACTAATTGTGAACATGATTGCTAAGGGAAACTACATTTTAAAAATTTATTTAATTATTCCACATAACTATTACTGCATTGAATAACCTTAATATCTTGTTATTCCACAGAGCTTCTTTGCTTTCTCAGAGTGATGAAGCAATATCAAGACATTCCAATGGTGGATTAAATAACTTGACTGAATCTGAGAATTCTTCTGGCTCTGATTCAGAAACTGAAAGTAGCTCCAGTGACAGTGAAGGAACATCAAGGGCTCCAACTCCTGAGGTATGTATTAAAGTAAAAGTTGTTTTTCAACATTTAGACTTTGAGTCTATACTGTTTTCTCCATACCAAATTCCATTATGAGTGACTGCAAGAAGGTAAAACTTTAAAGTATAACTCCTTGTTGAACGCATTACCTGCCCTGAACCGTAGCGGTTTGATTCAGAAGTAGAAACTTTGCATCTTGACAACTGGAGTCCAATTACTACACTACAATCAGTTACGGTAGCTGGGTACAGATGCCAAAATAGAATGTGATCCCCTCATTTGCAGAATATAGAATTTTACTTCTGATGCTTAATTTTCAGAATTCAGCTTTGCATCTCACCTTTATAATTTATTTTTAATTTTAAATTGGATGCTGTTTCATGCGATATATTACCAGTTATTTTGCTTGATTTTGTATGCAAAAAGTCGTCTTTTTACATCCGAGAGCATCAGTCTTTGATGTGAAGAGTGACCTTTCCAAAGAGTGGTAACTACATTTTGGAACATGAGAATATGGAGACGGTTTGAAGTGGAGCGCTTTGTGCTGGTTGAATTATTCAGTTAGCTCATGGCTGTCTGTGTTCTAACTCCACTTTCTCACCTTGGTTCCATGAACTTCAATGCCCACGCACAGCAAAATAGTACCTGAATTTGTGAAATAAGAATGACGTTTAAATGATGGATATTGTTGGCAAATAAAGGTCATCATTATGCCCAAGATCCTAGATTATCTATGTGAAAGCCTCACTGTTAGAGACTCAAATGATGGTCAAATGTTCCGATTTTTGTTTTTCATTTCTTTCAGTCAAGTTTAAAAGTATCTTTAAATTATTTTAAGTATCCCCAGGTTAAAAAGTTAAAGAAGCTAAGAATGATTCATTTGTTCTGGCTCTGTTTTCACTGTGTTTCTAGTTCATTTTTGGAATTGCTTTTTTAAATGCATAAGCATGCATGATTTTATATCTTTATTTTAAATCCATTCTATCAAGGCAACTAAGATTTGTGACTTAAAAAATGGCTGTAACAAATTAAACCCCAGAGGACCGGCCTTTGTTGATGCAAATATCTGATAGTGCATAAATAATAAAATAGAATTGGTTTTGAAAGAGTGTTCTAATGTTTCCTTGCTTACTATAATTATTAAATGGTGACTGAAGCTGCAACTAGTGCCCTAAAGTTCCGGTATATTTATAGTAGAAAACAGGAGCAGTATGATTAATCTGGTAAGCTTCTATAAGTAGGGCATTGCTCTCACTTCTTGCCCTGCTTCCCAGCGTTCTCTGTGGAGAGTATTTTCTCTTTTTACCATTTAAAAATGTATTTTCTTCCCACAGTCAATTGTGTTGTCTTAAGAAACCATATAATGTACGCCCAACAGACTGACAATCCAATTTCTCAAACCCTAATCCATTACCTTCCTTTGGAAATGGGCACTTGTGGGCAATCCACCGACTACAGTCTGTATTTGCTTTGAGGTTCTGGTACAACATGGGATGTGAAAGTGCTAAATTAATTTGTTCAAAATTTATAATTGTCACTATATGAACAGGAGCCTTAGTGTTTCTTCTAATACCTGTAGGTGTTTGTCATGCATATTGCACTTTATTTATTTGCATTATTTGTCTTGTCAATTGTTTTGTAGCCTGATCCTTCACCAGCAAATAAATGGCAACTTAATAATTGGATAAATCCGGGCCAGCCTGCAGTGTCTTCTGACAGTCACAGTGAGTTAATGAATGGGCACAATTTTCAAGACAGCCTGACATCTGAAGCAAAGGAGGGCCAAGATTGTACTGGTTCTAGCAGAGAGAAAACTGCACAAGAAATACCTTGGAACAAAAGTGAGTGGCAGAACTCCGCTCCTCTACATGATGGCAGCACTCAGCAGCATGCTGCTGGTAAAAACCAACCTAGCAAATCTGTTAAAACTCTTGCACCTGAAGCAAACCAAGAAATTAAAGCTGAAAATGAACCTTGCACATACGGTGATAAAGACCAAACTTCCACAGGACAGGCCAAAGTAAAAATAAAGGATGGGCAGCGGTTGAATGAGAAAAGGCAGTCTGACTCTTCAGCCAAGGTTTTGTCTGAAAAGAAAAAGCACAAGGGTCCCAGTGAGAATTTTTCCAAATCTAAGCAGTTAATAAATAGAGACTCTTTGTCCACAGATCAAGGTTCCAATAAAGGTGAGCCACCTTCACGTTGTAGTCTGCTTCCTGCAGCCCTTGAACCTCAGAAGCAGGAAAGTAATGAAAATGGAGCTAATATCAGTAAATCAGCCAGGGAGGAAAGCAGGACTAACTTCCCTAAGTGCGTTGCTGAGGTCAGGAACACAAACAAGTCTAACGTTAACAAACCTGTCACTAAAGCCAAAGAGGTAAACAGGACTACCTTGCTCCATCCTGCACATGAGGTTAGGGAGGAAGTGCAGACTAGCATCGAGAAACCTGACTGCCAGCTTCGGGAGGAAACCTACACCAATATTAATAAACCTGCTGGTAAGAGCAAAGAAGAAAACAGCAGCAGTACCAGCAAAGCCATTACAAAGGAAAATAGGACTAAACTGAATAAACCAGCCAACCAGGTAAATGACAACATTCTCTCAGATCAAGTTTTGCCTGTCAGGGATGTCAAGAGTTTGCAGTCATTGACAAAAGAGAATAAAGTTCGCTGTTCACTAATCGTAAAAATTGATCTAAGTTTGTTGTCAAGAATCCCATCATTGCTTGGTAAAGATGGTCAACAATCCAGGAACTGTATTATGGAATGTACTGGCCAGAAACTTCAGGAACAATTGAAGAAGAGCAAAGAAAGTTCATCCAGCAAGATCAAGAGAAAGCATACAGTGAGTTGTTTTTCTTATCTTGCTCTTCCCTTTTTCCCCCCAACAACAAAGTCTGCTAATTCACGTACACTCTTCGCCCAGACGTGATCAGCTGATAAACTATTGGCAAAAGACATTTGTGGCAGGATGAGCAAATAGTTTTGCCATTATTGCTGAAAGGATTTTTGTGTTGCTATCTAATGTCCTTATGGTTTTAATGGCCTTATTTATCTTCCAATTTTCGTACTAAATTGAGGTGTAAATTTGGTGTGACGTTTTTCTCATAAGCCTTCTGAATTCTACTGCAACACTGAAGTTGACCCAAACAGTTTGCCTTAGTGCTGCAGTGGAGTCAGCTTCAATGCTGTCTCTTGTTATGATATGTAACGTTGGAGGGCAGGGAGTAACCTCAGGTTGCTATGGTGATTCTTTACAACAATAAGAAATGATTAGTCTAGGCCCCTCAGAGTCTTCAAAGAAGAAACAAATGGATCAAATGCACTTTGTCCAATACAACAGTGGTAGATTTTGCACTGAAAGCACAACATTTCTAATATAAAGCAGTGTGCCTTTAGGCATGTGATTTCTTTGGTTTGCTGTGTTTTCATCGATGTCAGGAGCTGTGATTTCCACTTAAATTTAAATTTGCAAAGCTGAAATTTTATTGCCTAATGCTTATGATATATAATTTTCTGATCTGCAATAGACCTTGGCCCCAAACCAAGGTAAATAAGCGAGAACCAGAGAAGTTGTAGTCATTATTTTGAGCATTGTATTCGTGGCATCCTGAATTCAGAGGAAAAGTGCTTTTACATTTTCTCGTCTTTTGTTGCAAAATACAGAAAATTCTCGCTTTGCAATACTGGAATGAGGTCACTTCCTTTATGATTTATGTGTAGAGTGAACCCAAATTGTTTTTACTCTGTCGTGGAGCCTTAAAGGTTTCACGGCTCAAGGAACCCAATACATGTCACAAATGTTTGTAATTTTATAGGGAGCATTTATGTGAATATTAGGAGTATTTTCTATATGTTCTCTGCCATGTCATTTATTTTCTACAATTGAATGAAGCTTTGTCTATTTTTTCCATCACATTTTGCATGAATTGCACATTTTGAGCTCAACCTACATGAATCCACATCCAAACACTGACTTTTTGATCAAGAGAAAATCTTGGGTTCTGCCAACTGCTTAAAATGGGAAGGATAAATTTAAGATGTTTTATTAGATGCACTGCAGTAGATTCATAAGGAAAATATCACTAGTGTTCCAAAGGTATTGCCAAAATCTGTGAAAGTAGCCCAATACTTACTGCCTCTTTTGCTTACGCTTAATTGTCCAGTATTGGTGGGAGTAAGCCCAGAAGTGGCTTAGAATTCCATTGGTTAGATTATATATAGAATTATTAGGATACAAGTCATTTGGTGCAGAGCAATTCCGTCTATCCCATTATCCCCCTCTATCCCTAGTGCCCTCAAATTTATTACTCTTGACTGTCCATCCAGTTTCCTTTTTTTTTGAAATTGTTCCTTGTATTTGCTGCCATCATCCACATGGCAGTGAGTTCCAGGTTATAAGGCCTCACTCACTGTTTTTATTGGACAGTCAACTAATGGGAGCAGCTTTTCTTTTGCCTGCCCTTTCTAAACCACTCAATCTCCAATACCTGCATCAAATCTCCCTTCACCCTCTTGAACAACCCCAGCTTCTCTCATCTAAGATTGTTGCTAAAATCATCCATCCCTGGAGCCATTCCAAATAAGAATCTTTGGCATCCAATCAAGGATCCTTGTCATACTTCCTAAACTGTGGCAACCACAACTGGATGCACTGTTCTTTTGGTTTCTTAGCCAAAGCCTCATAAAGGTTTTGTACTCGTTGCCTCCTTATGAAGCCCAAGATTCCATTTGTCAGGGTCAAAGATTACAGATGGGCCCCATAGGCCCTCTATCCCTGCACACATTTTTTAGAATTGTGCCATTAAGTCTAGATTGCCTGTCCCTGTCCCTTCTGCCAAAAAGCAATATCTCTCACTACTTTGTGTAAAAATTTTATTGGTCACTTGTCTGCCCGACTACTAGCCTACCCTGTGTCCTATTGCAGTTTGGTATTGTCTTCATAGTCACTCTTCCAAGTTTGCTGTGGAAAATATTGAAGTTTTGCTCAGTATTCCAAAATCCAAGCCATTAATTTATGCAAAAAAGTGCTGGTCCTAGCACTGACCATTGGACACACAATGGTGTGGCCTAGTCTGAAAACTAGCTATTTACCATGGCTGCCTGCTTCCTATCCTAAAGCTGCTTTTTTTTATGCTAGCTGACGCTGATCCTCCAATGAAATGTCTCAAATTTGTTAATAACTTTCTGTGGTACTTTGTCAAATGCTTTCTTAAAATCAACATTGACAGCATCCATTGTTTTCCATTTATTAAACCTCTGTTACCTCAGCAAAATGTTCAATTGGATTAATCATGTGTGACCTTTCTTTTCGAAACAGGTGCTAATTTTCAATTCAAGCCACTATGCCTCGTGATTTGCTGTTTCTGAATTATTACATTATTATCAGTGATAAACAATGTGCCTCTAATAACACTTGAACGCTCCTGGGGTAAAGGTGTCACATTTGCTGCTGTCCAAATCTCTGCACTACCTGTATCTCTCACTTTGCTCGTCAGTTTTCACCTCGCCATTTCCTCTACTAGCTTCACTCCTGATAGCACCCGAAATCTCGTAATCGTGGCAGTGCTGGAAGTATTTGGGAGGAATCAACAGCTACATCCACTTATTTCGAGTTTTGTGTAGCAAGACTAAAAATCCTGGCCTTCTTTTCCTGCACATGGCCACTTGTTTGATGTCTATCATTTAGATATTATACTGGGGTGTGCACTTTATACTGTTCATATTATTCTGAAATTTAGGAGTTCATGTTCATGCATTTCCATACATATGGATACAAAGCGCCACATCATTCACTACTGCACAACAACCTGGACATTGAAATAACAGAGAATGTGCCTGCCACAAACTCAAACCTGAGAAATACATTTCATGAAGCTCCAGCACTTCTGGGCATCATGACATAAAACTAATGGAATTGTCTTGAATGTTGAAGTTAATGAATTGTGTTACATTTTCTAGTTCCTTTACGTTTTTGAATACATTTCTGGTTGAAAATGCTTTCTGTTGGGGAAAAACTGTGACTTTTTAAATAAAAGTCCAGAATGTCAATTGAACGGAACAGAGTTTTATAGGACAAACATCAAACCGGTGATATCCCTTTGAAAATGTTGTGCAATTCATCTCCCTCTTGTGCTCCCTCTTGTGATTTGAAGGAGTGCAGCGTTCTTGGAGTCTGTGGGCAGAAGGAATTTGAATACCAGAATGGAAATTTTGAAATCTTTGTTACGCCTAGAGCTGATCTAGGCCAGCACTTTCAGAGGAAATGGTTGAGTGGACTGTGTTGTGGCTTATAATAAGGTACCAGAGTTCTGAATACGTTTGGATTTATGCGAGCCTGGCCAGGAGACCATTGCAGTGCTCTCCTGGAGCCAAAAAAGCATGGTTGGAAATTTTAATAGCAGATATACAAAGACTGACAATGTAATGGTGGTAAGAACAAGGGATGTTTATGATGGAGAGGAGATGGGGTTGGAATCTAGTTTAACAGACGGCAGTGGAGTAGAGCTTCTGAGCCCGGGGCTTGTCCTTTTCTTTTTCTTTCCTCTTTTCTCTTCTCTTTTTTATTTATTTTACTTACCTCTTGTTGAAGAGCTCAGCTCAGTGTGGACTTACTGTGTCGGAGGCGAGTTTGGATTCTCAATGGCAGCTGCATCCAGTGAGGGCATCAGTGGAGAAAAGATGGCATGGAGGAGTGATGACTTTCACTCCAGCAGCATGGCGAAGGGGACTCACGCCTGGCCACCAAGCCAATGGCCTATGACTGAGCACTTAATAGGAAAGACTGCAATGTTGAACACTTTTTTTTCTTTTCTCTACTGCTTTATTCTTCTGTCTCTTTGCATTCTGTGTTTTGGTTTATTTTTCTCTGTTTTAAGATGGCGCCAAAGCGTGGCGATGCTGTACGACACTTTTCATTGTATTTTGTAACCAATAATTAAATAAATCAAATCAAGTCATTGGCTGACTGGAATGCCAGGGTTGTGGAAGTTTGGTTGAGCCTGAGGTAGTAGCTGGAATGGGCGATAGAATTAATGGATAGGGCATGGAATTTAAGGCAAGAATGCAAGCAATGGCTGTAGTCTGCCTAATGCTTAATTGGAAGAAAATTCTGGTTCAATGCAGATGGTGAAGCCAGCAACCATGCTGGCAATTTTAAAGAGTTGAAGTAATATGCAAGTGCTAATCATGATTTTAATCTCAAGGGAAAATGATGCAGTGAACTATAATGGTAATACTTCATAATTAACTTAAATCAGCCCAAAATCAAACTTTAAAGACAACTAATTGAGCTGGTGGTCAACATTTCTGTGGAATTTAAGTTCATACATTTGACTTCTTCCTGATCACAGTTGTGCGGTGAGATGAAATGTAGAAATGAAAGCAGTAATCCCCTCCACTGCAAATGCATTGACCACCTTTCTCCCAAGTATTATGAAGAGTTTTGTCATTCCCTGCAGGCAGGGACCAGCAAAATTGAGACTACCCTTCTGGCTGTAGGTGCTCCACAGGTGGATATTTTTAAGCAGTCTGTTCAGACAGGTTATGGCACACCTCTGGAGCAGGTGGGTACTTGAACTCGGTCCTCCCAGTCCACTGTGCCACAAGAGTCACCCTCACATGAAGGTAAGTATACTTGGGCCATAGGTGGGAAGGTGGATTGCCTCCTTATGGGTTAATTTATTTGATTGGATCTCCCACCCCGTCAGGGCCTCTCAGCTGGAGAAACAGAGTACACTTCATATGGCTTACGTTTTATCTTTGCTGAGGCCTGTCGCAGTTCCTGCAGTGGACCCTGCTCTGGGCGACAGGTACTTCCTCCCCTGATTCAAAAAGCTACTTGGGGTAAGACTCCCTCATTGACTATGAAACAGTTTGCTGAAGCAGGGCTGTATTTCATGATGAGTTTTCCAATGTAGAAGCAGTAAAGTACTGTTGAAATCCTGTCCCTAGCATTAACTGAATTTGCTGTTGGAAATTTGGCATCCCTTTGGAAAGCATTGTCAAATTTTGGTTCAACTTGTTGCCGTCACTTGGGAAGTCCTAAAAAAGGGAAGTTTTAAAAAACTGAAGCAAATAAAAGAAAATATAATCTTGCAGAGTGAAGTGAATCGGCTAGACGTACAAGAATTCATTCTCCTTTTGCAGTTGCTTCTCTCTGTTTTGGATTTGTCGAGAGATATTTATGTTGCTCTGATTGGCATGGAGAGTGTGAGAAGGGAAAGAGGAGAAGAAGCACGATGGTGTAATTTTCCATTTCTGGAGAGACATTCCATTCGGATCATGTGGTGCAGACTCTAGCTCTGCAATGAAGAGGCAGTCATACTTGTCCAAGCTCTCAGATTCCAACCTTGCAATTCGCTGAGATGTTGTCACGTGCTGCCACATTCAAACCACCAAGCTGCTCTCCTGTGTCACGTTGGAGATTTTTCACTTTTATAATTGTTGAGATGGAAAATAATTCTTAGAATGAAGTTGAAGTCTTGAACATTGACAATAATTTATTTTCCTTCCTTTTTGTTTACTGCAAAATTATCTATTTCAGGTTGACGTGGAAACGAGTGAGAGCAAAAAACTAAAGCTGAATAAAGAAAACAAATCCTCTTCAAGCCATAAGGAATCCAGTCAGAAGCGGTGTGTATGCGATATCTCAATGTCTAAAATTAGTTAGAGATTCCTTGCAACATTTGAGTTCTCGTCGGACACCTGTCGAACTCTGCTGATTCACAAACCACAGCTAAAAGTGCTTCATCCTGCATGTGTATTTTGAATATATTTAGCACATAAGTTTGCCAAACTGCAAGTCATTTCTGTGTAGATCATAAGAAACAGTCAATACTCGAGACATGAAAAATGTTGCATTCCTTTAAACCAAATATGATTCAATAAATTATGATAGTGGATAACGCTAGACCAGACTGTCATCAGACACAGCTGTAGAGGATTTTGTATCATTAGGATCTTGATGTACAAGTATATTTAACTTCTCCCAGGCACTTAATAATTTATATAACTTCTAAAATTGGATACCAGTAAAATCATTATCAAATGCCTTTCACAGCCCAAAACTCAGCATGTTGTCTAAAATCAAAAAATGAGGCATACACAATCTCTCTATCCCTCTCTCGTGCACAATCTAGCATTCGCTTTTGTGGATAAAAGGATATGGGAGGGGGGTGATATTAGGGTGTTGAGCTCAATGGTCAGCTATGATCCTATTGAATGGTGAAGCAGGCTTGAAGTCGAATGATCTATTCCCGCTCGTATCTTCTATGTTTTTATGTAATGTCCCCAGGTTCACTGACAAGATCACATTGGTTAGGAGAGAAAGCACTGGGTAGGTGAGGACGACCAAATAGGCTGGAGACAGATACGGACAGGTTCACTGAGTGGGCAAGCAATTGGCGAATGGAAAGTAATGTGGAGAAATGTCCATTTGCGGGAGAGATTTACAGGCTAACTCAGTGACAGATTAATATCAGTTTCCCTGCCCGGTCACATTTCCAAGTGGTTGCCCTGAGGAAGGGCAGTTTTCTGACCAGATATTAAAACATTGCAACACGAAGGTACTGAGTGTATCAGAGTTTGCTACATCCCATCATATTATCTACATTGTTGTCTGTATCGGGTGAATTGTATTCCATCTGCCAATGTTTTAAGATGGTGAAATGTGATCACGTTTGTAGGAAGAGGGAAAGAAAACAATGGTTGAGGTAAGAATGGTGAGAAATTATTAAATGTTATTACCCAGGGGTTTAGGGTGATCTTATACACAAATATCAGAAAGTTAACAGGATCGTAGAACCAACAAATAGGAGAATAGACAACAAGGTGCAGAGCTGGATGAACACGGCAGGCCAAGCAGCATCATAGGAGCAGATTGGTTTGTATGTGGAATGAACTGTCAGAGGAAGTGGTAAATGCAGGCAGTTATAATATTTGGAATACATTTGGACAGGTATGTGAGTAGGAACCGTTTAGAGGCATGTGTGCCAAATGCAGGCAAATGGGCCTAGTTTAGTTTGAGAAACTTGGTCAGCGTGGAAAAGTTGGACCAAATATTGTGTTTCTATGCTGTATAACGATGACTAAGACATCAAAGTTCTTTTTTTTTTCCTTCTGTATAAAGGAGAGATTCTAATAGAAGGTTCTCTTTTTGCTTTACCTCTTTTCCTACCATTTAAGACTGGATGTCCTATTCCACTAAAACAACAATGTTGAAAGAAGGAAGTTTTCTGTTAGAGGTCTGTTGTCAGAACATACTATAATTTAATTATGATCTGTGAATTTCTATTCTGTTGCTATTAGAAAATACTGCTGACTCCTTAAGTGTGCACTGTTCACTTTGATATTGAAGTACCTTGAAGATAACAAAAGAATTGTTATTTGATTTCAGAGTTCCCCAGTCTTCCTCTGAGAAGGAAAACCCATTTTTACTGCCACTTCCATCTCCTGCACAGAAGCCAGCAAAGGTAGCTCACAAACAGCACAACAGTGGAAGTAGTACTTCCAGCCAGATCTCCACCATGAGTGCTACTGATAGCAAGGATTGTAGCAGCAAGATTAACTCTTCGTCCAAATCACTATCCTCCAAGCACAAAAGAACAGAGGATAAACAGTCCGGGCACTTAAAAAGCAAGGTATAAATGCCAACACGGCTTAATTTTTTAGCTCAAAGATGAGAACTTTCAAGTGGATTGTTTCATAATTGGGCATATTGTTCAAATGCTGTCTTAAATATTTAATGTATAGTATGCTTTATTGAACACCGTAGTTATTGGATATAAAGTTATTTTTAGGATTTGTAAGGTTGGTTTAGTTTAGCAATTTAAGCTGCTTGAAAGAGAAGCTGCCTTTCCTGATAAACATCCCATTTTGCCTGCTCACTGATGCTCAGTTTGGATTTTTCCTGACTGACTTTCCTCTGATGTTTGCCCCCGCATTGACCTAGATACAGGCTGAATGTCAAAGGAAGGGTGAGAATATTTGCCCTCAGCATCGAGACAGTTCCTAACTGAACCTCAGCAAAACTACAGCCAATGTGAAAACCCTTAAGTGGTTGGATCATATCCGATGAGAAGATACTTGTGACCTTCAGAAGCGGTTATCAGACTCCTGGATGTTGCTGCAGGAATTCCTCTAGCAGCATTTTGGGTCCAGTCTCCTTCTGTCCATCCCTCTGTCATGAGCTCAGGAGTGGGTCGTGTTCTCTGATCTTTCCAGTGTTCCACTTATTCCCCCGATAAGAAGGAAACATAGAATTTTACAGTACAGACAAAGGCCATTCAGCCCATCATGTCTGAATCAGCTCCTGAAAGAGCTGCTCAGCCAGCCCCATCTCTGTAGCCCTCTAAATTTGTCATTTTCAAATAGATATCTCTCGTCTCTTTTCAAACCATGTTTGGAATCCGCCTCCACCACTCTCGCAGGCAACACATTCCAATCCAAACCATTCCGAGTAAAGAACTTTCTACTCCTGCCACTCCTAGTGCTCTTGCTGATAATCTTTGACCCCTTACATCAGCTTATATGGATTGGATAAGCACTTGCGTCACACAAGTGCTACCTGATGACCACTCCGAGTAAGGCAAAAGCCAGACATTTCTCCGATCATTCACGTGCTCCTGAGCTATCACTGATCAGAAAATAACTTTCCAACCATTCTAACAAGTGTACACTATTGGCTGGATGCTCTGTGAAGAATGACTCCTCTCCTGATTCTTCAAAACCTCTGTGCCTTGTTCAGTGCTCAAGACAGGTATGTGATGGAATATTCCCGCTTCGCTTAGATGGCTTCAGCGAAAACAGCACAACCATCCAGAATAAAGCAGTTGACTAAATCACTACCCTGCCATTGAACTGAGTGTACTGTCACTAGGGTAATCGTGATCTATTCAGCTTTCTCACCTGTCATTTCTCATTATAGATACTGCTGGGCGTGCTGTGTTTTCAAGCATTTTTACGTTTTGGTTTCAGATTTGTGGCTTTCTATTGAATTATTGAGATGTGATTTGAAGGGTTAATGGATCAATGTCTTAATATCATCGTATCATTTCTTCATTTTCTTTGAATGGACATTATTTTTGATAATTGGCTGAGGATTTTAACTGTTAACGCAGTGGGTCATTATGTAATGCTACAGAAATAATTAGTAATTTATGGCATCACTGCAGAGGTATACGCTATTTCTTTTCTGCTGTTTACCACTTCCCCTCTCCAAAGCTGTGACTCTTGATTAAAATGTTTGAGGGGAGCCTTGGTCAGGTTTCTGAAGTCTCACCTGAATGGTTGCTTTTCGACATGGACTCTGTGTTTCAAAATATTCCAGCTGTGCTCATTCAGCGTACAAATATACATTTTTCCGCTATGGTCAGTGGAAAACAATTGACTCAAAGATGGTTTCTTCATTCACCGTGGTGCACTGAAACCATTTATAATGCTGTCAGTGTTGCCTTCCTGAAACCTCTTAATTCAGAAAAAGTGTGGAATGAAAGATAGGATCGTCCTGTTGTTGAAAGCTAGGGCCATGTCATTTTGGTATGTTTGTCCATTCAGCAAAGTCGAAGCCTGATGGATTGTTTTGTGTACTTGTCATATTCAAAGGGTTAAAATTAATATTTACAAAACCTTCTTATCCACAGGTGTCTTACCAGGGTACTGCCAGTAAAACCACTCCAGAACAATCCCTCCTGAATGGAAATTCCAAACCCGCAAGGCCTCTGCTCAAGTTTGATGACAAGTAATTTACTTCGATTTCACTCTGTTCTCTTCCATGGCATCAAAATATGCTGTAAAATAGAACCTATCCTAACCTCTACCCACTTTTTCTTAAGGCAATATCCGGTAGAGCATCACTTGCGAGAAGCCAAAAAAGTCAAGCACAAGGCTGATGTCATGGTAAGTTACTGGAAGTGACCTAATCAGAAATGTAGAAAAATAGCTTTATCTTTACATTAGTCTTTGGCTAATTGTTTCCTGATGATTAGCTGGCAAATTTGAGAACAACAATATAGGAGAGAGCCTGAATCTGAAGAGGTTACAAAGTGATATGATTGTAGTTGATGGTAGCCTGGTTTCTTTGGCTATAAGGTTTCTTTCTGTAATTTGGTTACCTTGGTGGATAGCCACTGAACATATTCAAATGCAGCTGTCCTGACACACTGATGTAAGTTTATTACATAACATAAAAAAAATGTGGAAAGAACTTGCCATGAGCAGCAAAAGTATTCGCCCCTTAATTTCTCTGTAATATCCATCACAGACGCTTGCCGGCCGGATCCAGAGTGAAATATCACCCGTTTCATTTCTTACTCGACTGGTGAGGTCACAAGTGCTTCCTTTAAGTGAATTTCCACACATTCACCAGATCTGATTCATTTCATCTCTCCCCAGGACACACAGACACAGTCTAACTCATTTAATTTTTCTCATTGAACTCTTAAGAATAAAATCTCTCTCTTTCTGTAGTTTTCTCTACTTGAGGCTACTAAACAGCATATTTGTTGGTATGGATCCTTTCTTCCGAATAGAACCTGCTTCTGATCCTGGGAATGTCCATTTGTTTCTCTCTGGGTTGTAAAAGCCCACCTTAGTAAATAAATACGTGAGAAATTATCTCACCAGGTAGCTTGTCTAATTACTGAAAAAAAATAGCAGAAATTGCTGGAAAGGCTCAGGTCTGGCTTCATCTGTGGAGAAGAAATCAAAGCTAATGTTTTGAGTCCAGTGACCCTCCTTCAGAAATGATGGTACTGAAGAAAAAGTTGTTTTTTATGCAGAAGGTGGGAGGTGAGGAGATAAGGAGTAAACGATAGGTGGTGATTCAGCTCAAAGAGAGAGAGAGAACAACAGCTGGACAGACAAAGGAGTGGATAACAATCGGCCTGGGAGAATGAATAGCTACTAATGGGGACTGTTATTGGCTAACAGGGGGTAATGTGTAATAACAGACCATGTGATATATCCAGGCCTGGTGTGTGGGGTTTGGGGTAGGGATATGGGAGAAGGTGCTTCAAGCTGTAAAATTGTTGAACTCAACATTGAGTCCAGAAGGCTGCAAAGTTTCCAAGCAGAAAATCCGGTGCTGTTCTTCCAGCTACTGTTGAGCTTCGCTGGAGTACTACAGCAATACTGAGACGGATGTTGGCCAGGGAGCAAGGTATTGTGTTGAAGTGGCAGGCAACTGGAAGCCCAGGGTCTCTCTTGCAGACAGAATGTAAGTGTTCTGTGAAGCGGTCACCCAGTCTACACTTTATTTCCCCAGTGTAGAGTAGATGAGATTGTGAGCAGCAAATACAATAGACTAGATTGTGAGAATTGCAGGTAAAGTGCTGCTTCACTTGGAAGGTGTGTTTGGGCCCTTTGATACTGAGGTGGGAGGAAGTAAGTGGGCAGTTGGTTGCAGGGGAACGTGCCGTGGGGCTGTGAGAGGGTGTTCGGAGTGAAGGAGAAGTGGACCAGGGTGTCCTGGAGAGAACGGAATTGCAGAAGGCTGACCAGGGAGGAGAGAGGAATGTGTCTGGTCGTGGCATCTCACTGGAGGTGGTGGAAATGGTGGCTAATGATTTTCTGGATGTGGATGCTGGTGGGATGGTAGGTGAAGATAAGGAGCACTTTATTGCTGTTGCAGGAGGGAAGAGAAGGGGTGAGGACTGAAATGCGGGAGATGGGTTGGACCCAGCTGAGGGACCCGTCAACTATGTTGACGAGGAAGAAGGTGGACAATTCGGAGACTTCTTTGTCGAAGTTGGCATCATCGGAACAGATGTGCCAGAACAGAGGAACTGGCAGAATGGAATAGAGTCTTTATGGGAAGTTAAGGTGTGAGGATGTGTAGTCAAGGTAACTGGGAGTCCTTGCATTTTTAGTGGATATTGGTAGCCAGCTCATTCCCAGAAATGGAAACATCTCGATGAAGGGAAGAGAGGAGTCAGATGGACCAGGTGAAGGTGGGAGCAGGGTGGAAATTGGAGGGGAAATTTTCAATTCTGAATGAGAAAGGGAGCAGCACTGATGATATCAATATACCAGGGAAAGAGTTTGTGGGTGGGGGCTGGAATATCCCTCAAAGAGACAGGCTTACTGGGGCCCATGCTGGTACTCATGGCCACCCCTTTGACCTGAAGAAAGTGAAAAGAGTTAAAAGAAAAGTTGTTCAGAGTGGGGAGAAGCTTGGCCAGGCAGTGGAGGGTGGTGATGGATGGGGACAGTTCAGGCCTTTTTTCCAGGAAGTAGCTTGTCTAGTCACTTAGCTTGATTGCTTGGAAGCGTTGTTTTGACCCAATGCTTAAAGAGTTTGTGACCTTCCTTTTTAAAAAAAAAAAAATCACCTTCACAGAATTGAAAACCAGAAACACATTTATCGATATAATCCTGTTCCCAAATATGAATAGTAGCCTTTATTTTTATTAATCATTTTTTTTTTTGTAATTGTGATTGGTATATCAAGTTCATTCTTTATATCAACTATATAAACACACTTCAGCATGGATATCAAAGAATTCCTCAGTTCTCAGGAAGGGTCACTGGACCTGAAACGTTAACTCTGATTATTTTTTTTTTCTTCAGAGATGCTGCCTGACCTGCTGAGCCTTTCCAGCAACTTCTGTTTTTGCTCTTGAATTAGAAATGTGCAGTCGGTTCACTAAGATGTTACTGGGGATTGAGAGTTTGTTACAAAAGGAGAGCTGAGGAGTTTGATTAGTAAACCAGAAATGTGAAGTTACGTAACCTGTAGGAAGCCTCAAGCTGTTGAGGAGCTATGATATAGTAATGGAGTATTTCCACTGTTGAAATATTTGCAAAATTAATTTAAAAGAAGGCAAAAAACTTGCAAATTAAATTGCAAACTGCTTGTGAAGCAGGGAATGTAATTTTTTGTGAAAGACAAATGGATGGTTACTTAAAGAAGGACCACTAAAGTTATTGTGCAGAGAAAAACACCAATGTGGAACTGACGGACCAGACTATCTATTTCTTATCATGAAAGAAGCAGCAACTATGTGCGACATTTACATCACGCCTTCATGAATTAAAAAAGGGATGATGAACTCCCAATCAGGGATTAGTTGAGTTGACCAGATGGGTCTTTAGTACCTTGAAGGTTTGAGGTGGAGTGCGGGCAAACTACTTAAATAACTGGATGAGAATTTTTAAATTTGGATACTTTGGGGTGAAACAAACCAGGTGCAGGATGAAGCTTTAGCTGATCTAAAATTTATGGAGGTTGGCTGTTTGCTGTTGGCCTGAAGGTTTACAGCAACGCTCAGTCTGCAAGTGACAAAGATGTGGATGTTGGTTTCAGCAGTGGTTGAACAAAGCTCAATAATGTCGGAATGGAAAAACGCAGACTTTGTGTAGTTTGATGTAGTTTGTGAAGGGATTGGAAGCTCTGTCTGATGTCAGACAGGATTGCTCACTTTCAGGGAGCCATTTCAGCTCATGATCCTGGTAGGGAGTGGATGGGACATGTAATGGTAGTTAGTTCGGCCGTGGGCATGATTGTCCAATTCCCTGATATTAAAGAGAAGTTCTTTGATCTGTTTGAATGGTAATTTGGTGCAATTTTATTAGCACAGCTGAGAATAGGCTTTTTTTTTAAGACACTCATTGAAATACCTTTTTTATTTCTCACAGTGGAGTTCATGATCTTAAATAGCTGAAAATGAATTTTGAAAGTTTTACTGAACCATTTACAAGCTTAATTGGTGCACTTTTGTGAGCTATTCAATATTTAAACAGGATCTATTAGAGTCTTTGCACTTAAAATGGAAGCTTAATCTCAAGAGCTGCATTAAAGGGCCATGAATGAGCATTATTAGTGGGGATGAGAATTAATCCAGTGTGGAATGTGGGCAGTACAATGTTCAAATTAGTGAAAAAAATTCATGGAAACTCAATTTGTGCTTTTTAATAATCCCCATTCATCCTGATTTTACTAGCTATCAGTTCTTTTCCTCAATGCACAATTTAGAGCTGATTTCACTGGGAATCCTTTCCACTAAGGATGGATGTGTGTGTAACCCCTGATTCAGGTTTATAAAGTCATCATTTGAATTTTGGAAGCAAAGCTTTGGTAGAATCTCAACTAATCTGTAGCACAGTGAATGCTAGAGTCCAATTAAAAGCTGTATTGCACTTGAATATTAAAAATTAAGAATCCAATATTGTCACACCTTTGTTATTCTACTTGTTGTAGCTCACTGGGTAATGGCAACATAGAGCCTGTTGAGATTGAAAAAGTATATATTTTAAATTAGTGATGTTTTTCATACCTTGTGGTGACAGCAGAAATATTTCAATTAAAAGCAAAATCACCTCTAATTGATCCAGAAGCATAAAATTGTTTATTTTGAAGTAATGGACCCACATCAAATATTGAATCCCTTCTCTGTTTTTGGTATGAACCATTTAATTAACTTTTGCTTGGGTGTTTATGGCAATCCATGAATTATATTGTCACCATTGCTGAGTGTAGTTTTTAATTGCAGATTTATTGATTATTTGAATTTAAATGTCAAGAGCTGCCAGGGTGGAGTTTGAACTTCTGTCCCTAGAACAATTGCCCAGACTTCAGGCTTGCTAGTCCAGTAATATTCCCTGCCTCAACCTAATAGCTTTCCTTCCCCCTCTTCTGAAGGAATTTGATTTCGACAATAGTGTGTGTGATTGTCAAATATCCTGAAGTAATTTGCCTAAGGGACCTTTGTCGATGTTAATCAATGATATAGTGAGCATTGCCAAACTGTTCAATCGTGGGGGTGTTTGCAACACACCTGAACCCTGATAAAGTTGTCCTTAAACCCACTAAGCTTCCAAACACCTATCCTGTAACCCACAACACATGACAGTGCTCAAACTACTACTACAACTGAAACTACTCGCATTAGGGATTCAGCTAAAAATTCATAAATATAAATTTCATGTTAAGTGAATCAAAACAGTAACCATGGTTTTAATACCAAGCTTATTTTTCTCACAATTAGTCGGACAAGATTGGGAAAGCTTTCAATTACTTGGACGCTGCACTATCATTTGTTGAAAGTGGTATAGCCATGGAAAGTGAGGCACAGCCACCAAAGTCTGCTTATACCATGTTTTCTGAAACAGTGGATTTAATCAAGTAAGTGTCCTCAAGTCTTGATCTGGTTAACACACTGATTAATTTTCTTCAGTTATTAATGATTCTCACAAAAATTGCCTTCAAATTGACTGTTCTGTTGTCTATTTCTGATTTCAATGATTATTCTGTCATTTGGTATAATCTCCATTTTCTAACTTCATTACAGGTACATTATGAAACTAAAAAACTTCACCGACTCATCAGCAACTACTGTAGAAAAAATATTTGTGGTTTTATGGTAAGTAACAATTGCACTGACGTTTGAGCCTTTTAATGTCACAAAATTCAAAATACCCAAATTCCATGGTACGTTGACAAAAGGATTGTGGTTAAATTGATATATTGTGAGGAGGTTCTTGATGAAGTATAACAATGTGGGAATAAGTCAGCTGAAGGACTGAGAGGAGATATGCTGCAGGAATCAGACAGACAATTGTTTATGGCAGAAAGAGGCAAAGCTATGGTGGAGCTATAGCGGAAGACTCGATCAGTTGGTAGGAAAGCACTGAAGAAGGGGGAGAGTAGAGGTGATGGAGAGCAGTGGATGTGGGTGATGCGTTTTGGGCAATTTGTAATTTATAAAAAGCGATGCTTAAGAGATCAACAAGGAGAGCAAGTGATCAAGTCTAGAAGCTTAGGGTGTGACCAATAGTCTGTGGCCATAAAGGTGGACACAGGCAATTTTGAAAAGATGGAAACAAGGACCCTTGACCATGGCTCAGCCTGACAGTATCGAGACTGCACATTGTTGGACTCGGCATGAGTGAGTTGCTGAGGAGAAGAATGGAACCTGGGTTAAGATGCAACATTTTTTGACAGGCAGTAAAACAGTATATATTTGGTCTTACTGATGTTGAAGGTAGTTCTTGCTAATTTAGGACATGTGCTGCCTGTCAATTAGGAGTGAATGGTGATGGGTAAAAGGTGACAAGTGAACTGGGTGTCCGCAGCATCCAAATAAATAGTCAACGTCCACGATACTAATAAAGGGTATCATTCAAACAAAAAAAGATTCACGAAGGTTGACTTGGTCGGGTTAGTGTAAAATCAGGCTGGGCCATT